AGGCCCCATTCCCTGCCGCCCCCCCACCCCCGGATCAGAACCGGTGCCCCCTACAGGGGACAGGCCCCATTCCCTGCCGCCCCCCCACCCCCGGATCAGAACCGGTGCCCCCTACAGGGGACAGGCCCCGTGCCCCATTCCCTGCCCCCCGAGCCAGCCAGTCCCTGCCCTGAGGCCAGATCGGAGGGAAAAGGCCCCATGTCCCGCTCCCAACCCCCGTCCCCCTCCCTGGCCCTACCTGAGTCCTCGAGCTTGTAGGCGAATGACACCAGCACCCCAAATTCCACCTTGTCCTTGTACCCAGGGACGGGCAGGAGGGTCCGGCCGGACAGCTCCTTCTTATCCACCTGGGGGAAGGGGGAAGGAAGCCGAGACATCACCAACGCTCCCGCAAGCCCCTCTAGCTGGATCCCCCCCCCCGCAGCTCCAGCTCCCCCCACACACCTCGATGTCGGAGATGGCAGAGTGCAGGGTGCAGGACCAGTTGACCAGGCGTTTGCTGCGGTAGATCACCCCCTCCTCGTGCAGCCGGACGAAGGCTTCCTGGACAGCGTAGGACAGTTTCTGTGGAGCAGCGAGAGGAGAGGTGAGATCCCGGTCCCCTGCCGGAGAGACGTTGGACCACACATCCCCGTGTCCTGCGCCCCGCACTGCTACCCAGGGAGGGAGATTCTCCTACGTGCGGAGCAAGTTCCCACGGAGCCGGCTCTGACCCACACCGCCCCAGTGTGACCTCTGACATCCCCCCGGGGATGGGGATCAAGGGATATTCTCTGCATTGGAGGCGGGGGCACACCACTGCACAGGGCAGAACTGGGGAAAGGCGGGGGCGGGGGTGATAGAACCTGCATGGACCCACCTCCGGGGCCAGATGGGAGCTGGCGCCCCCTAGAGGACACATTTCCTGGGTCCCATTCCCCACCCCCCCGACCTAGTCAGTCCCTGCCCTGGGGCCAGATGGGAGCTGGCGCCCCCTAGAGGGGACAGGCCCCTGCCCCATTCCCCGCCCCCTGAGCCAG